AAAACAAGTGATCTTATACTGATGCCTGGTTATTACATACTTTGCCCATTAATGAAGCCCCAATACTATATATGGCCACTTTGGTAGGTACAGAAGAAGAAAGAAGGAATAAAAGTAACATCTGGAGAGAAGACTGAAATACATTCTTGTTCTTCCAGATTTAGAATCCAATTCTCAGAAAACAAATTATCAATGATGGCAGTGCTGAAATAACACACATCAAATACATTAACCATTAATTACAGTCTTTTATAACTTGGAAATGAATGACTACCTAACATGTATTTCCATGAAAAAAAAATATCACTCAGAGTTCCAAATGAATTAATCAGTAATATGGTTTAGATGTTTCGTCCCCTCCAAATCTCATGTTGAAATGTGACCTGCAATGTTAAAGGTGGGTCTAGTGGGAGGTGTTTGGGTTACGGGGCATATCCCTCAAAGATGGCTTGGTGCTAACCTTACAGTAATGAGTGAATTCTCACTCTATGAGTTCATGTGAAATTTGGTTGTTTTAAAGAGCTTATACCTTTCTTCCTTTCCTCCCTCTCCCTTTCTCTCTCGTTCTTCCTCCCTTACCATGTGATACACCAGCTCCTCCTCCGTCTTACAATTATGCCATGATTGTAAACTCCCTGAGGCCCTCACCAGAAGTAGACGGTGGCACCACACTTCTTGTGCTGCCCGTAGAACCGTGAGTCAAAATAAACCTCTTTATAAATCACCTAGTCTTAGTTATTCCTTTATGGCAATGCAAACAGACTGACACGATCAATAAATTTTTAGAACATAATTTAACTGCAACTGAAAAACAACAAAAACATGGAATGAAATTAAGTGTAGGTACACAGTAATTGAAAAGCAATTTTGGAATTAAATCCTCTGAAAGTATATTACACATTACTGGGTGATAAAAAACTATGACCACTGAAAGATCTCTGATTTGTCCATAAATATTAAATAAGCATGCTAATCTTAGCTTTAAAGAGTAAACTATTCACCTATATCTTTGGAAATACACACTGGAAAATATATAGCTAACGATTTCCAATCTTTTCTAATTCCCTACTTCTAATTCAAAGACATTGTCAATAAGAAGCAAGTAGCTTGGTGTGGTAATTTTTATAAAGAATAATATCAATTTGATTCCAGTATAATATTAATGTGTTTGACCTACAGTCTTAGTGGAGATACTTATATAACTTCTTAAGGCTTTTTGAAATGTTAAAAATAGGTCCTAAACTTTTATCCACTTTTCAGGACTACTGAAATTCTGATCTACCAGATTTTAAATAAAATAGAATCCAGTCTTATAATAACAAAAAAAGAAACAAAAATCCAGAAAGATAAAATCAGAGATAGTGCAGAGCTTAGAACACTGGTTTCCTATCTCCCAGTACAGTATTTTTTTTCACCTGATCATGAGGTCTCATCAACAAAAACAATAAAACCCGTATTGCTTTTTATTCAAATCTATTTAGTTCTTGAGTACACATAGTTTGAAGAGAACGTTCAGATAGCAAAGGGATATTGCAGAATCTAAATCTATTTGGTTTCTGAATTTTCAATAGCAAGGACTTTATTTGAAAATTTATCCAAGATGGCCAAATAGGAACAGCTCTGGAGTGCAGTTCCCAGCGAGAACACAGAGGGTGAGTGATCACTGCATTTCCAAGTGCATTTTTACTGCCCACAGACCAGAAGATTCCTGGGTGGAAAAGTACCATGAGTCTCCAGCATGGCTGTTTCAGCCGGTACAGCAGGTCTCCGAATAAAAACTCACACCAATCTGGGTGCCTTTTCAACTGGCGCCTGGAATGCCTACGGGACAGAGTCGCCCATTCAACTGAAAAAAAGGGGGCTGAAACAGGGAGCCAGGTGATCTGGCTTGGCAGGTCCTACCCCCACAAAGGCCAGCAATCTGAAATGCTCTGGATTGAGAGTTTCACAGCAAGCACAGCTGGACATGGGACGGTCCAGCTCTGTGGGGGAAAGGGTGTCTGCCATTACCGAGGCAGTCTGCCATTACTGAGACAGCTCACCATTACGGAGGCAGATCATCATTACCAAGGCAGTTCTAACTAAACCTCTATAAACAAAAGTGCAAGGAGGTTCACATAGCAGCTGGGCAGAGCTCAAGGCGGCTCAGCAACACCTCTGCTGGCAAACTGTGACTAGGCTACCTCCCTGCTGGGCAGGGCATCTCTGAAAAAAGGCAGCAGCACGTCAGGAAGTTATAAATAAAGCCCCACCTTCCCAGGAAAGAGCACCTGGGAAAAAAAGGTGGTCATGGGTTCCACTGCAACAGACTTAAACGTACCTGCCCAGCAGCTCTGAATGGAACAATGGAGCTCACAGCTCAGCACTTGAGCTCCTGTAAGGGACAGACTGTTTCCTCAAGCAGCTCCCCGACCCCTGTATATCCAAAGAGACACCTCATAGAGAAGAGCTCAGGCGGACATCTGGCGGGTATCCTTCTGGGACAAAGATAACAGAAGAAGAAACTGGCAGCAACCCTTACTGTTCTGCAGCTGCTGCAGGTGATCCCCAGGCAAGTAGGGTCTGTAGTAGACCTCCAGCAGACCTACAGCAGAGGGGCCTGTTAGAAGGAAAACTAAAAAACAGAAAGAAGTAACTTCAACATCAACAAAAAGAACATCCACTCAGAGACCCCATCCAAAAGTCACTAACTACAAAGACTACAGGTAGACAAATCCACACAAATGGGAAGAAACCAGTGCAAAAAGGATGCAAACACCCAAAACCAGAACGCCTCTCCTCCTCCAAGGGATCACAACTTCTCACCAGCAAGGGAACAAGGCTGGATGGAGAA